GGACTCAGAATATGACTCCTGTAGGCTTGTTTTTTAAAACTTGTGGGGTTTTGTGTAGCTGTAGAGTATTTGTGCTCCTTTTACTATTTGCCTATAGTGTAAGTACTAAAAATATACTGCAAATGTGAATGGATTCAAAGGTAGTAACAGTAAGATTTTATGACATAAAAATTTAAATTATTTAAAATATAACCATAGAAAATTACAACTGAGTATAGAATCATAGAATCATTTAGGTTGGAGAAGACCCTTAAGATCAATGTGTCCAACCATTAATGTAACACTACCAAGTCCACCACTAAACCATGTCCTTAAGTGCCACATCTACATGTCTTAAATACTTCCAGGCATGGTGACTCCACTTCTTCCCTGGGCAGCCTGTTCCAGTACTTGGCAGCCCTTTCAGTGAAGAAATTTTTCCTAATATCCAATCTAAACCACCCCTGGCACAACTTGAGGCCATTTCTTCTTGTCCTATCACTTGTTACTTGGGAGAAGAGGCTGACACCCACCTCACTGCAACCTCCTTCCAGGTGGTTTTAGAGAGCAATAAGGTCTCCCCTGAGCCTCCTTTTCTCCAGGCTAAACAACCCCAGCTCCCTCAGCTGCTCCTAAGACTTATATACAATATTTGGATTTTTAAGAGTGTGCACATGTATGATAATTTTAAAAGCTGTGGATCTTACGCATTTCTCTTGAAAACATTTGGCTAATAGTCAAAAGTATAGGAATAAACAGCAACCAAAGGTTGTTTTAACTCAAGTTCTTTTAACTAGTCAACATTCTGTACGTCTTTGATTTTCACAACTTTGATGCTTAGGTGATGCATGCTCCTTTTCAGTACTGAGTATTTAGCTTCAAGGTTATTAACTGCTGCAGTCATCTACTGCATCAGGTTCTTAGCTTTGAAGAAATAAGATTCAGGATAGATCACATGTCTCTCTGGGCATTGACTGTAATTACAGGTGCCAATAAATTAACAGTAACCTCTTTTTATATTATCATCTGAGACATCCACACTTACACATAAGTAGCTGTTGCTAAGATTTTATTGTAAATCTTTTATTCTGTAGATGGAGCATTCTTAATGGGAGGGAGGAGGGCTTTCTTAAGTTAGAAAGGCTGTCCTCGAAGTTTTAGCTAATATGGTACATTGCAGCAGCATACCCTTTCCAAATCTTCACAGGTCCGTTTTTGATGAGGAAAAGCTTTAAGAATGGTCTGCTTCTAGCTTTAGTAATCTGAGGCTTCTGAACCAAATGACTTGTTCATTCCCCAAAAGTTTCCAATGCCAGGAGAACATGACAATTAACATAATGAAAACCCCACAGCTCTGTAACCAATAGACTGGTAGGCTACGACTAGATGCTCACTTACTTTCTTAGTGGAACTGAAGTGAATGCCGTGGCAGTGTTGCAAATATGGCCCCAGTATTAGCTACCCAATATCCCGTTACTGAACACATTTGTTCTGATTTTCATTTTACTTCACCTCCTTAATTTCTACTTCAAATATGCAGAAACTTAGAATTAAACCTTATATTTCATGGCTCAGCAATGTTAATTTTTTCATTTGTATTTGTAGCTATAAATATTCCTGCACTAATGATGTTATCTACCCCCTTTATATGTTGTGCAATTGTCTTTTAAAACCAGAAAAACTCCAGATGTGATCCTTTGATGTATTATTACAGTACACATGATCGAAAAAAAAAAAAAATCTTAATTTTTTCCAGTGTCCACCAAATCTTCATAAGCAAGATGGGTATGCCTGTGATTCCAATCAGGTACACAATTTTCTAAAATCCTTACACATCAGCAAATAGAAATCAACCAAACACAAGTTGGTGTGGTTTGTTTTTGTTTTTTTTTTTTCTTTCTTTTTAATCTTGTCTTCCATATTTCTTCATAAATTTTGTCTTTCAGACATCAATGTTGCTTGTGCTTTACGCACTCTATGAATAGTAAAAAGTTCTACTTTGAATAAACTCTGCTTAGTATATTTACATTTTACATGTAGATCTTTTATTACACTTCATGTTAGTAAGTTCTTTACAACTGTGTGAATGAGAAGTATGCAGAAGTTGCTGAAATGTCAGTACATATTAGACACCAACTGACTTTGAGGATCTGGGCTAAAACATGTACTCCATCTACCCAAATTCATGAACACTATTATACATCCCGATATGTACATGAAGAATCAAAATGAGACGTTTGGGGAGGGAAAGGAAATTAAATAGTGTTCAGTTCTCACTGCTAACATGTTGTGTTTTGTTTAGGGTCGTTGCTATAATGGTGAATGCAAGACAAGAGATAATCAGTGCAAATATATCTGGGGATCTAGTAGGTTGATTTTAACTACCTTAAACTTATTTTATTTCTGGTTCATTCCTGCCTTTGTTTTGTATTTTTAATATTTTTGTTTTTTGTTCTTGCCACTGTAAGTTAAAGTGTTCTGCTCAGTAGAGTAGATTGCCGTGAAGACCTGTGGCTTGATTGCCAAGTGAAATTTCGAGTTTGGGAGTGATGACAGATTGTTCTGATGTGCTGTGGTTGCAGACATAGGTAGGGCAGCAAATGCTGGACTCTGGTGGAATTAGGTGAGAAAATATACAAAATATTGGCAACTTTTAGTTCCAGTTACCGGGGGGAGAAAATGGGTTTGAGGAATTTTTTTTTTTTTTAATAGTTCAAACCAGATGGTTTTGTGTTTTCAAATAACAGTTGTCAATCTCATTATCCCAGCAGTGGTTCACGCCAAAGTTTCTCCAGCTTGCCTCTCTTTGCTATACCATCCTACAACTCAGGAAAATTAGTACATTGGTGTCAATTGAAATATACATAGTGTGAACTTAAGCCCAGAGGTGTTGAATAAAATAGAATTGCAGTTGCAATGGATTTTGCTTGCAGCTGAGGGGATAAGTGCTCTGTGTAATGACTTGGAGACAGTTCAGCAGAGCAGAACTATCAGGATGTCTTGTATTCGAGCACTTAATGTTTTCTTGTGCATTTTGTCTAATCATAACTGCCACTGCTGACACTGCCTATTTGAGGCAGAAGAATCATTCCATTCTAGGGAAGATGGAAGAGGAGGGATACAATTTTACCATTTATTGTTTGTCTTGTACAATACAAAAGATGCTATATAAGTGTAACATGGGATGGAGACAATATTTTCTTTGCCTTCTGGTGCTTTTTTGAGCTTTATGTTGCCACCTCACATTTATTAGGAATATTAAAGGCAATAAATGTTTTTGTTAACTAATTTCTTTGTATCTTGCACACATTTTAAAATATTTGCTTTGTCTTCTGTACAAGTGATTTTACTGAAACTACTCTGCCTTATTTACCTTTAATATTTTATTTTCCTCTGTATTGTTATGCTTTTCTTAATTGATTTTTAGGAAAAAGAAATGGGCTTATTAGTAAATAATTGTGGTTTTAAACCTATTAGTTCAAATTTCTACTCCTAAAAAGCAATAGAAATTGCACTCTGACTGTTCAACCTTGTTTCCTCTGTGAACTCTTAAAAAATAAAATAAAATTGAGTTGATGTTGGAACATATGCTTATGGTATATGCCATGTATAAAAATCTTTGATGTCCTGAAATACAGATTAGGAATAATTTTGCAGTGCAAACAACTAGATTAAATCTATGTGCAACTGTTACAAAATGAACAAAATCAGATCACAGATTAATTCAAATGCATAAGACAATACAGAAACTGTGGAGATTGCTTTTTGTTAAAAGTTCAGAGCAAATTTTGAACATTGAGCATTATTTTCGAAAAGCCTCTGTAGGTATTGCAGTTTAGTCTGCTAGGTTCCTAGTGTAGTCACTGAAAAATACTTATCTGTATACATACACGTTTAGTTTTCTGTTTTCTATTAAAAAAATTCAGGTAACTACTGCAATAAATTATTCAGGCTTTCAAAGCTGTCATGTTGCCAGTGGAAAATACATTCCTTTTTCCTTTCTTCATCAACAGAGTCTTCGGGATCTGATAAATTTTGTTATGAAAAGCTTAATACAGAAGGCACAAAAAAAGGAAACTGTGGAAAGGATGGAGACCGATGGATTCAGTGTAGCAAGCAGTAAGTTCAGTTTGATAGAGATTATTGGTATTTTATAGATTAATACTGGTCTACATTTTCATGAATGTTTCAGCAGTTTGTGTTGCATTTTTTAAAATCTTCTTTCATTGACAAAGTTTGCAGCTTGTAAAAGTTCCATAGCTCATTCTGACAAATCCATAGGTGACTCAGCAAAACACCTATAAAGAATTCCAGATTTTTAGAATAATGTACTGTGACTTTAATTCTTTCAGAGGAGCTGGGGGACAGGGCAGCAAAAAGTCACAAATTCATAATATACAAACACCTCAGACTTGGTAGGAATAAGCTGGGCTGCAAATAGACACACTATTTTTGCTTGCTCTGGGATTGATACCAGTTCATGCTACTTCAAGTTTGTTCCAACCTTTATTTTGATCAGAGTACCATTAGACATTTGGATGCTATAGAGAAAATGACAGATTCATTTGTATGTGATCATTAGTAGATGAATATTTGATTAAATTTATTTTTCAAGTTAACGATCATTAGTGGGTAGACTTAAATTTCTCCTAATTTGCTTTCTGTTTGGTAATTTTTAAGTATGCATGTAAAAATTTCAGTCTTGGAAGGGTGTTTTCCTTCTTTGAGTATCTGATGTTTGTCGTGGCATTTTGGTTTTGTTTTTGTTTTTATTACATGAGTCACTTTTCAGATAGGATCATAAGTAAAGAAGTTGTTTAATGGATTTTTTTTTTTTTTTTTTTTTTTACATTTAGATGAGAATAGTGGTGTTCCGGTATCTATATTAAAAACCTAATTTATATAAAAGTTTTTCTTGGTCAGTAGAGAGATGCAGAAAAATGGTCTAGCTGAAGGGCCATTTACATTTTTCACAATTTTAACAAATACAATTTCCAGCATTCATCTAGTTGCTTCTATGACTTAGGATGATTAGAGTAAGAGATGGAAGTTTGAAGCTGATATCCGTCTATTGAAGATTGCACATATAAAATAACATCAAAAAAGCAGATTCTTTACCAAAATTCAGGTGCACACACTGCATTCTAACGATTGTTATTATGGTTCTGTGGTCCTGCAAAGGAAATAAAATACAATTTTAAAAAATTAAGATTCACGTTAACATACTGTGTCCAAGCTGCTAGAGGGAGGGAAATGTAATTTAGACTGATATGACAAAGCTTTGTACAATTTAGCTCCTCTTAATTGTACTGTATTGTATTTAGAGCGTAGGTAAATTTTTTTGTTGATGTGAACATTCAGTGGTGCATTAAAATGAATGATTACTTGTTTCTGCCTCTTGTCATTTATATCAAAGCATATTTTATTTCCAGATATGTACTCTGAAAGTCTATCATACGGCTTACAGTAACATGTTACTTAATGTGATCAGCAGCATTATTGCCAGCCTTTCTTTTTTCTAAGGTTGCTTAATATTATTCCAGTAACTTTTTGATTTATGTTTTCATTTTACAGTGATGTTTTCTGTGGCTTTTTGCTCTGTACTAATCTTACTAGAGTTCCACGAGTCGGTCAAGTTCAAGGAGAAATTATCCCAAATTCTTTCTATCATCAAGGACGAATAGTGGACTGCAGGTAAAAGATAATTGGCAGTCTTCCAACGTGATTTTGCTTTGTCAAATTTAAATGAATTAAGATAAACATAAAATTGTATGATTTTTAGGTAATTAAGATCTTACAGCAAAATCATTATTCTGAGTGGCATTTCTTCTGATTAAAAAAAAAAAAAGGCTAATATTCCACATTGAAAGAGGGCAAAATGTGGGTTATGCTCCTGATTACTCTGTTCTCTCCAGTAGCAGAATTTCAGTCAGATTTTAATGCTCAGCATTATATTGGGAGGGGGGAATGGAAGTCTGTAATTGCCAAAGACCCATATATTAAACATAATCTTGTTGAGTATTACATTCTCAGAGAAATAGCTTTAGGGAACTGAAGGCTGAGCGGGAGGAAGCTGAAGAGTTGTGGCAAGATAAGATGTTAAGGTACAGGTAGGTTAAGGTCAAAGGGCAGGTAAATGGGTTTTAGTCTACTATGCATAGTTAGGTTCTGAGTGAACAATGATTCTTAACTCTTCTATTATTCCACTAGTATTTCTCTTTAAATGTCATCACATGGGAGGTTAGTTTTTAAACTTTTTTTCTAGCAATAGTATTTCACAGCATTTGGAAATAAAAAAAGAAAAAAGCATGGCCCATCAAGGAATGTTAAAAAAAAACCAAAGCCAAACATGTCCGTTGTGAGTATTTAAGCCATTATCTAGGTTTCTTTTTAATCTGACAACTGGAACACCTTGTCAGTGCTGTGGACAGACAGACAAACTATATAATTTTGTTCAATTTGACTGTATGTTTGAATGAGAGGAAGGTATGAGGCTTTTGTATGTACACCAACATGTTTAATATTTTCAAAAGATTCCAGTTCATAATACTAATAGTCTCTTAAAACTTATTTCTTCTAGTGGTGCTCATGTTCTTTTAGATGATGATACAGATTTAGGTTATGTGGAGGATGGAGCTCCGTGTGGACCTCAAATGATGTGTCTGGACAAAAAGTGCCTGCCAATTCAGTCCTTGAACATAAGCAGCTGTCCCATTGGTTCTAATGGAAAAGTCTGTTCTGGCCACGGGGTGAGTCTGTACTGGGAGTTAGCAGCTAAGCTTTTCTCCAGCTCTCTCTGCTAGATCTGATCTTAATGTACCCTTTGGAGTTCTCTACCTGGACCTGTTCATTAGACCTGTTGATCTGAAAACAGTAATGTTAGATTGAGGGGAAGACTGACATTCTGTGAAGCAGAGATAAAATTTTAGAAAGCAAAGTTGTCAAAATAGTTCTGCTATTATATCCAAACTGTTGTTTTCATTACTAGCAAGAGCAAGCTTTGACATCAGTTACTGTAAAGACTTCTGTAATGTACTACCCATATTTCAAGTTACTTTTTATATAAAAACTATGGCAAAACCAATGAAAATATTACTATTTTTTCCACATGGGGGGAAGCTGTAAATGAGATTTTGTAAAGCACGACTAGGTCTTGAACCTTTTAAACACAAATGCTTGTATTCCTTTGGGGACACCCAGGCTCAAGGTCTAGGTAGTTGGTTAATGATGATCTAACTAGTCCAGATAGGGATTATTTTGGATGAGAGTTTCTGTTAATTTTTACATCCTATTCAGGTGTGTAGTATAGGTGATGATGGAACCACTGGGAACACTTCTGCTTTTCCTAGCATCCGAGTGTATTTAGAGGGTTAAAGGAAATTTACTACAATTTATAGATGGATAAGTTTTATACTCTAAATTAGATACCGATACCTAATTGCATGTTAAATGAACTTTATAAAATGTAGTTAAAAACCATCTGCTGTAATTTGTTTTCTTTTCCAGGTTTGCAGTAATGAGGCCACTTGCATTTGTAATTTCTCCTGGGCTGGGACAGACTGCAGTATTGATGATCCTATCAGGGATACTGGTAGCAAAAAGGATGAAGGGCCAAAGGGTTTGTGTGATTTCAGTTTTGATGTTCTTTCAAGAATTTATGACATTTTTCTGTTGATATATGGTAGCAGAATTAGCATATAGAAAGAGAATAATATTGTGCAGTCCTACTTAGAACCAGATAGTAAAATTCTGCTTCATGTAGATGAAGTAGGTCTTTCTGCTTTGAGAACTGATGAAACTTTTATTTTTCTAACCTAAATTTAGGGAAGATTTCAACAGGTAATGGTAGGTACTTTGTTTTTTCCTTCATCCCTTATTCTTGATTTTTTGCAATCACTTTTTATGTGATTGGAATCTGATTAACTGTAGCTCTTATTATTGATATGATAAATGAGTATTTATGTTTTACTAGAGATTTCCAATTCCCTTAGTTGTTCTCAGCTAATTCAGAGAGCTGTGGCATAAAAAAAGGAAAAGTGGAATGTTCCTGTGGAAAAAGCTTTGATTCTTTGAAATCAGATTTCAATGGGAGGAGAAAGAAATAAATTAAGGTTTTAAGGACTTATATTATTCTTACAACTATTATTGCTTACTCATGTATTTAATAGGTATTCCAACTGCATATGAAGTATAAATACAAAGAGGAGCTATTGAGGAAATAATTCATCAAAAAAGTTTTTCAAAGAGGAAGAAAAGCACTTGAGATTCTCTCTGACTTCTCTGCCAAAGAATGCCTTTGGATTGTGCTGTGCAATTTTTTATGTCTGTCTTGTCATCAGGACATTGCCCAACATCAGACTATATTTATCCAGTGTTATGCATTTACAGATAAAGTTCCCAGTAAACAACTGAGAAACCCAGACAAAAGTTTTTCTGCTATGTCCCCAGTTGCAGGTTCTTCTGTCCCTTATGCAAGGCTCATGAAAAAATGATAGTTGTTTAAAAATGTCCTTAAAGCTCAGGCTCTAATTGATTACTCATTAAAATATCCAAGGTTTCAAGGAAGGACAGGATTTTGGTATGTCCCTCTGGAATGGCTCTACTTCTATCTTGCGTGCCTTATTATTTTGCCCCTTAGCAGAATGGTTCCAGCAGACGTTTACCAAGAACTGTTGAAGAGATCATCTTAAAACAAGTTACCACTGTGGAGGAGGCTCTCTAGAAAAGTCCAGATATGATTAGGGAATCTGTGCAGGTGCTTCCTGGACTCCTAACCCCACCACTGTTCATTCTAGAGCTGCCTGGTTTGCACCCACCCTGCCTTACAAAGCCACTTGTCCTTCCATTTCCTATCTTTCTAACTGTGGAGCACTGCTTACAGAGTCTTAAAAAAAAAAAGCAGAGGAGAGCACTATAGAGCTGATTACTTCTCTTTGTGTGTGGATGAGGAGTGTAGTGTTTACAGTTGTGACACTGAGGGTACATGAATTTTATATTGCTTATTTCCAAATCCTGTAGGTAAGAAATAATTCCCTCCTCTGTAAAAACGTCTATAGAAAAGGCAACAGAGAAGGTATACTTATCTTGGTTAGATTTTTGTAACTCTAATTAATTTATCAAATTCAGAATGGAAATACCTTTATGAAAATGAATACATCAGTGCTGAAATATTCAGGGAAACAGTCTTAAATGAATAGTATCTGCATGGATTTTTGCCAGTAGGTATGAACGTAAAGTTTAGACTGCATTTTTCAATGTAGTCATATACAAAAAGGCAGATTATGGTTTTGTACAAGGTGGCTCAGTTATTTCAAAAGATGGATTATATATATTGTTATAGTAGTTTATTGATGGTGAAGCACCTAGAAATGAATTTAGCAGCCTGAACACTGACATCTACTGTAATCTCTTTTGGTGTGCTAAGGAATCCCTTTGTGGGAAGATGTCAGAAGAGTACAGAAGTAGATTTCTGTATTGTAAAGATCCAACATACTAAAGTAGTTTCCATTAAGTTTTTTCCCACTTATTACCAGTACTGCCCATTTCATGTCCTAGTTAACAAGGCTGAGACACAAACCACAATACTTTTCCTTAGCCCTAAATTTGAGTTTTGTTAAATTTCAGAAACGGAACACTCGGGATGTGAAAATTCACCTAATAGATTTAAGATTTTTTTACACTGTAAACCCAAGCATTTTTTCTTACTACAGTTAGAGCATGTTTAGCTAGGAAGTATTGCTATGTATTTATATATTATTATGATAATTGACAGTTGACTGCTATTCCTGCTGTATTTCTCAGACCTTTCCATCACCCATCAGTTGCTTTTGGTTCCATACTGTGTTTCAGGATTGAAATAATTAGTGGTCCTTAATTTTGTTGGTATTAATACATGAGTCTTGAATTACTCTAAACTCGGCAACCTGCTGTATCCTGTACCAGCAGACCTACACAGCAGACCAGCACTTTTGGGAAGACAGTTATTGGCTACTACAGAAATTGTGAATTACTTTGGACGGTTGGCTAGTGGTTTTGAAATTGGCAGCTCTAAATATGCACACAAGATTCTTCCATTGCAATTTCATTTGCAGAATTAGGCCCTTGTTTGACTAGTGGAATAATGTTTGTTTGTTTTTATAATATAAAACTTATGTCTCAAGTGTGTGTGTGTGT